TGTGGTTTTATTCCTACTTTCCTACTTTCAACACAAGGTCCGGAAGGGCAAGGGTTCGATTGATTGTTTCGAATCCCCAACAACTGGTATCAGAGCTTCGTTCAGCAATTTGTGTGAAAGCCATGGCAGAGGAAAGCAAATCAAAGATTGAGAAGTTCGATGGATCGGATTTTGCCTACTGGAAGTCGCAGATGGAGGACTATCTGTACCAGAAGGACTTGTATCGCCCGCTGTTGGGCAAGGAAAAGGGAAAGAAGAAAGAGGAGTCAGATGGTGATTGGGAGGTACTGGATAGGAAGGCTCTAGGGCAAATCCGGTTGTCGCTCGCCAAATCAGTAGCCCACAATATTCTGAAGGAGAAGACGACGGTGGGGCTTATGGAAGCGCTCGCGAAGATGTACGAGCAACCGTCGGCAGCAAACAAGGTGCATCTAGTCAAAACTCTTTTCAACCTCAAGATGGCAGAAGGACGGTCCTTCACGATGCACCTCAGCGAGTTCAACACGATTGTTGATCAACTTATCTCCGTGGACATCACGTTCGATGACGAAGTGCAGGCCCTTCTACTACTATCGCAGTTGCCGGATAGTTGGGCAGGTTGTGTGACGGCAATCAGCAATTCGGCGGGGAAAGAGAAGTTGAAGCTGAATGAGGTTGTTAGCATGATTCTATCCGAGGAGGTTAGAAGGAAATCGTCCGAATCAGAAGGTTCAGGTTCAGCCCTAAGTTTCGAGCAGAGAGGCAGAAGCCAGAAGAAAGGGAACCAGAACAGGAATCGGTCGAAATCAGTGAAGAAGAGGCCGAACTCGAAGGTTAGGTCTATCAAAGGGAAGTGTTGGAACTGCGGCCAGGAGGGCCATATGTCTTCGGTCTGTAAAGCACCAAAGAAGGATGCGGGTGAGCAGGAGGCTCATATCGTGCAGGATGCCTTGATCCTTGCTATGGATAGCGATTCTGATTCTTGGGTCATCGACTCAGGAGCTTCTTTCCACGCCACTGCTAATAGGAAACTACTTCAGAACTATGTAGCAGGGGACTTTGGTAAAGTATATTTGGGGGATAATGAACCTTGCAATATTGTTGGAAATGGCGACGTTCAGATACAGATAAAGGGATCTAAGTGGAATTTGAAGAACGTGAGACACGTGCCGAAGCTGAAGAGGAATCTTGTTTCGGTGGGACAGCTTGGAGCAGAAGGCTACGTTTCGACATTCACCGGGGATTCGTGGAGAATCTCCAATGGTACGATGGTTGTTGCCCGAGGCAATAAAACGGGAACTCTCTACCTCACTTCACATGCGAGTGACACCCTCGCAATTGCAGCTGGCAAGGAGAGTACAGATCTGTGGCACAATAGGCTGGGGCACATGAGCGAGAAAGGGATGAAAATTCTACATTCACAAGGAAAGCTAACCGGGATCGACACCGTGGAAGTCGGGGTTTGTGAAGACTGCATCTTTGGGAAGCAGAAGAGGGTTAGTTTCCAGAAGGGTGGAAGGCCACCTAAGGCTCAGAAGCTAGAGTTGATTCATACAGATGTATGGGGCCCAGCCAGTGTGTCTTGGCTGTTCGAGATACTACGTCACCTTTATCGACGATCACTCGAGGAAGGTGTGGGTTTACTTCATGAAGCACAAGTCAGAGGTGTTCGAGATCTTCAAGAAGTGGAAGGCCATGGTCGAGAACGAGACAGATCTGAAGGTGAAGTGCTTAAGATCAGATAATGGTGGAGAATACGAGCTGGAGGAGTTCAAGAGGTTCTGTGCTACGAATGGGATTCGCTTAGAGAGGACTACTCCAGGGACGCCGCAGCAGAACGGCATTGCAGAGAGGATGAACAGGACCTTGACAGAGCGTGCGCGGAGCATGCGATTACATGCAGGTCTGCCTAAGACATTTTGGGCGGATGCGGTACATACAGCAGCTTACCTTATTAATCACGGGCCATCAGTTCCATTAGATTTTGGGATTCCAGAGGAGGTTTGGAGTGGAAAGAAGATAAATCTCTCACACTTGCGGGTATTTGGTTGCGTGGCTTATGTTCATATCAGTGACCATGTCAGGGACAAGCTAGAAGCTAAGTCACAGAAGTGCACATTCATTGGATACGGCATTGATGAGTTCGGGTATCGCCTTTGGGATGAGAAGAACAGGAAGATCATCAGGAGCCGGGATGTGATATTCAATGAGGAGGTGATGTACAAGGACAGGAATAATGCTAAGGATAGCCAAAGCAGTGGGAGAAGCACTACGGATACAGGTGGATCCGAGTACATGGATTTGGAGGAACTTCCAGATGGGGGCGACGATGTCAGTTCTGACCGTAGAACGGAGGAGACTACAGGTGCAGAAGCTACTACCCAGGGCGTGGAGCCTAGGAGGTCATCTAGGGTACCCAAACCAAATCCCAAATACCTCTCGTCACTTGATTATCTACTCTTAACAGATAGCGGAGAGCCGGAGTGTTATGAAGAGGCAGTGCAAGTGAGTGAATCTCAGCAGTGGGAGCATGCGATGCAGGAGGAGATGGATTCTCTACTCACTAATGAGACATGGGAGTTAGCCCAGCTACCTGCGCAGAAGAAAGCCTTGCACAACAAATGGGTCTACCGGGTCAAGCAGGAGAGTGATGGAAGCAAGAGATTCAAGGCCAGATTAGTAGTGAAAGGGTTTCAACAGCGGGAAGGAGTGGACTACACGGAGATATTTTCCCCTGTTGTGAAACTCACAACCATCAGAGTGGTGTTGAGTTTGGTAGCTGCAGAAGACCTCTTCCTTGAGCAGTTAGATGTGAAGACTGCCTTTCTTCATGGTGACTTGGATGAAGAAATCTACATGAAGCAGCCTGTTGGCTTCATTGAAGAAGGAAAGGAAGAGATGGTGTGCAAGCTCAAGAAGAGCTTATATGGTTTGAAACAGGCTCCGAGACAGTGGTATAAGAAGTTTGATAACTTCATGCAGAACAATGGCTACAGAAGATGCAATTCGGATCATTGCTGTTATTTCAAAAGGTTCGAGTCCAGCTTCATTATTTTGTTATTATATGTTGATGACATGTTGGTAGCAGGACCGTGTTTAGAAGAGATAAACAGTTTGAAGAGGCAGCTAGCAAAGGAATTTCCAATGAAGGATCTGGGTGCAGCGAAGCAGATTCTAGGGATGCGAATCAGTAGGGATGAAGCTGAAGGGATATTGAAATTGAGCCAAGCTGAATACATTGAGAAGGTACTTCAGATGTTCAACATGCAGAATGCTAAAGTTATTAGCACACCCCTTGGAAGTCAGTTCAAGTTATCTGAGGAGCAATCGCCTAAGACAGATGCAGATAGAGAGATATGAGCAGGGTGCCATATTCTTCAGCCATTGGGAGTCTCATGTACGTGATGGTTTGCACGAGGCCAGACATCGCTCATGCAGTGGGAGTTATGAGCAGATTTGCAAGCAACCCAGGAAAGCAGCATTGGGAGGCCGTGAAGTGGATAATGCGGTACTTGATGGGAACAACGAACAAGCCACTATGTTTCAGGAGGAAGGAGTTGGTGCTGCAGGGATACGTGGATGCGGACTTCGCCGGTGATCATGATACGAGGCGAAGCACCACGGGGTATGTTTATACCTTAGCGTCGACAGCAGTGAGTTGGGTCTCACGTCTGCAGAAGATTGTGACTTTGTCTACAACCGAGGCTGAGTATGTCGCGGTGACTGAAGCAAGTAAGGAGATGATCTGGTTGAACGGGTGCTTGGAAGAGTTGGATCTGAAGCAAGGAAGAGAAGTTCTTTATTGTGATAGCCAGAGCGCTATACATCTTGCCAAGAATCCAGTATATCATGCCAGAACGAAGCACATCGACGTCAAATACCATTTTATACGCTCGCTGATCAAGGACGGAAAGTTGCATTTAATGAAGATTTTGGGGAGTCAAAATCCGGCGGACATGTTGACGAAGGCAGTCACCATTGAGAAACTGGAGTTGTGCGCAACTTCAGTTGGCCTTCACGAGTAGAAGACGAAGGCGGAGCCACACTACGATGATCAGCGAGATCGCCGGGATTTTTTGTTGATTGAAGGAAGAACTTTTTCGGGGGAAAAGATACAAGCGAAGAAGGGGAGAGTTCGGGGGAACTCATTGCAGGCACTTTGGTCTCCAAGTGGGAGATTGTTAGTCTAAGGTGTAGACCCAAAGTTCGAGATGAAAGCTGGAATCAAAAGCTCAGAAAAACACGCAGACAGATCGGCGGTCGACCGGGTCGGTCGACCGCAAACGTGCACAGGAGCAAAGGAGGGCTTGGATCAGGTCGCGGTCGACCGGTCCGGTCGACCGCCAAACCCTGTAGGAGAAAACTGCTCTCGGGTTTTGCATCGGTCGACCGGGCCGGTCGACAAAAGAGAGCTTTTTGACTGCAAAGAGAGAGAGAATCTCAGAGAGATTAACCCCTTGTTTGAGAGCTTGTATTTTCTTCTTCTATTAATAAAGAATTTGTGTGGTGTAGCTCCCGAGAACGTAGGCACGTTGCCGAACCTCGTTAAATCTGTGTGTTCATCTCCCTTACTGTTTTTTGCAAGTTAGATCTTTATTTGTGGTTTTATTCCTACTTTCCTACTTTCAACACAAGGTCCAGAAGGGCAAGGGTTCGATTGATTGTTTCGAATCCTCAACACTTGCTAAGGTTTACCTAGACTCAATTCCTCTCCTCCCAATTCTTTCACTCTAGAAGGGTTACGAAAATGTGTAAATTTGCTTGTTTTTAACCGGTTAAGAAAGTGTGTAAATTTACTTGTTTTTAGCCATTCCATCCCTTCCCTTGCTAATTAAAATTTCTAAACAAACACAAATTTTGGAGGGTTAGCATTCTAACCTTCCCAATCCTTCCCATCTCATCTTTAAAAAATGTATTCAAACTCACCATTAATGTTATATAAACTATCAAATCAAATATGATTGCATAATTTCTCAAACAATTTATGAACTGTTTGTTAATTATTTGGTTCTTTTCCAACTTGTAACTATCACTTCAAATTTCATTGCTAGAATTATTTGGGATCAAATATCCATATACATTCTTCAATTCAAATTTCTCCCCTATTGTACATGTTACATTAACACCTCCACTTCAGAGAAACACAGTGCGCTAATATGAGAAACTCATAACCTTACAACAACTATGGGTATAATTGACAAAAATTAATAAGATAAAACTTACAATATCCTCGTTAAAAACAACAATCGCTATTACATGCTACCGATAAACTCACATAGGCTTTCTACCTCCGTTACACTCCAAGTTGATGTGATGTCAGCAAACAAGAACTCTGTGGTTCGTCAAAATTTGGCTGGCTTCAAAATTGCTATAATCAACTGAATAAATGCACATAAGTTCCAAGAATGTACACCTTTACTGAACATGGCACATGCATTCTACACATCGAGGATGTCTATAGATACTTCTCGCCACAGGCCTTTTCTCGACCTTTTTATTCTGCCTAGTTGCCTTTCTTATGCTCTGTTGAAAGTATTTCCACTCTATTGTTGCATTCCTTGCAAATATGCTGGCCAGCCTTCGTTTATTTGGTCGAATTGTTGGATGTTTTCCTTCGCCATAGTACATTCGGTAGCCTTGAACTAGGGATGAGAATTGACTCCCATCATCAGTCATGGAAAATACATCAGCGGCTGAACATACTATGAAGTCCAAAGCAGCTAGCTACAAAAAGGGAAAATAAAAGCACTTGAGAGATAATACTCAGGAAAGTAATTAGTTTATATGAAGTCCAGAGCAGCTAGCTACAAAAAGGGAAAATAAAAACACTTGAGAGGTAATTATCAGGAAAGTATTAATTTATATATTAATGTTTACAAATGGAAACCAGGTATTTGTAATCTAACAATAGTCAGCAAGAAGTTTAATGGAGCTATAATTATTGGCAGGGAACTCATTGGAAATAAACCACAGAGCTATATGTAACGGTGTGAGTATGTTCAGGAAAGAGATAATCCCTCAGGAAATATTAGTCTATTAGATAATAAATTAATGTTTATAAATGGAAGCCAGGTTTCCGCAATTGAAGTTTAAGTCAGCATGAGGTTTATTAGAACTGTATTTGTTGGCAGGGAACTCGGTTGAGATAAGCTAGAACACTTTATAAAATAACAATGAATGTTATGATTAACCTACAACAGAGTTAATTTGCGAAGAAAAAATAATTACAATAAAGGAAGAAATAGGTCAATTATAAATTAAATGTAGAGTCCAGCTTAAAAGATCTTATAAAATATAAACTATCTGGTCCTTTGAGACGTCAATCAGATTTACACTGTTCCATCGGAATGAACCTAAAACCTACAAATACTACAAGAGGCAATAAATAAATAAATAAGTACCACCAAAAATCCATAGTGCATATGATTTTCTCTTTCAAAAAGTTCAAACTAATACTTGGTTGGCAGGAACATAAAACTGAGGGAGTTTGGAGACTTAGAAAACAAGTGTACTGAGTTTTAAGGGGAAATCAAATGTTAAACCGACCTGATTCTCAAATACTCATAATTTTCAAAACAAGTCCATGTGAAGGATCTAGAAAATCATAACCTTGTTTAAGCCATACAAATAATTAATAGCAGTTACGTGCAATACAAAATTTGTTGACTAATTTATACTTATTGGAGTAGACTTTGGTTTGTGATGAATGACAGATTCAGATCTGAGTCTTGCAAAAGATTTGATGAAGATCAGACTAGAATTTTTTCAAAAAGATTTGATTTGTTTTAAGTTGGGATTTAGGATTAGGATTAGGATTTTGTTTTAGTGCTACAAATAATGATGTATTTCTACATTTGAAGAGGGAAGAGAAGAATGTTTGTGAAGAATCTGCATGTGAATTGCAAGCAACTAATATTAGGCATGTGAGTTGCCGGCATGTGAAGTGTGCGGGTGTGAACCCCGAAATTTCTATCTTATTTTCTTTAAATTAAAAGCGCAGTTTCTATATATATATATATTTTTTTAATGTAAATAATCAATCTCAACATATCGCTATGCTTCCTTTCCTCATTAGTTGGTATCAGAGCTGAGGAGATCCACCATTTCAATTTCACCATCGACAATACATCAATCTGAAGTTTGTTAATGCAAATAGTATTAAACTCGAGGGTGAGTTTCTTCAAGATGGGGAGATTTGATGCAAGACAGATTCAGACTTGAATCTTGCACAAGATTTGACGATCAAATTAGAATTTCTTCTAAAAGATTCGATTTTTTTTAAGTTGGGATTTAGGATTGAGTTGTTGTTTAGCTAGGAACAAATCTGTTATTTTGTTAGGATATGTGATTTGATGTTATCCATTAGTCAGGATTAGGATTTTGTTTTAGTACGACAAATAATGATGTATTTCTTTATTTGAGGAGGGAAGAGAATAATGTTTATGAAAAATCTACATGTGAATTGTAGCTATTCTTAGGCAAGTGAGTTGCAGGCATGCAAAGTGTCCGGGTGTAAATCCCAACATTTGTATCTTATTTTTTTAAAATGAAGAGTGCAATTTCTATATTTATATTATATTTTTATGCAAATAATCAATCTCAATAGATCGCTATGCTTCTGTTCCTCATCAATTTATCATCAAGATTTGTTGATCAAAAGTAGATATTGGTATAAAATAAATATATTACGACAAAAATACAATGAATAATTCTAAAAAGTAAATAATAATATGAAGCGATATAATAATACTTTATACTTGCATTAACTTCAAGTGATCTCAATATGATAAGTGTCCACAGACAAAACTGATGAGGCCATTAATCCCCGCTTTGCTCGTGCGGATACAATTAGATGCCGCTCAGGCTAGCTAACTCAAGTTGACAACCTGACCTTGAGCAGGAACCAACCCCTATTACCTATTTGGGCCCTAGGGTCAGCAAGTGGCCCTAGACCCCACACCTAACAAGACTCATCATCAAATTGTGGTTGTTTGGTTGGCAAAAAACCCAAAGAAAAGTATTATAGGAAATCTACTTCTCTTAACACTTTCTTTTCTCTTGTTTGGTTCACCACTAAAATCATCTTGAAACCAAGTGTAAGGGTGACATGGCACCCTCCCATTGGTTGATGAGACATATAATTAAAGAAACCCCTTTCATGAGTCTTTGTACAGAAATGAGAGGAAACTCTCTTTAATGATCCCCCCTCATCACCAAATTCTTTTTCTTTAGTTTGCAAGAAATCAACCTAACATGCCCTTAATGTCTTCATTTAATGCTCTCCTTAAAACACACAAAGGTACTAGGAAGTTTCGTCCGCCTATGTACATTGGACACGTGTCTGTAGCTTGTTAATGCAGGATGATGACATGTGTCTCCTTTATCCAACCGCACAAATGCCGTATATAAGGGAATCATCATGCTAATAGCTTCTCCCAGCTATCTAGGACTCTTTACTATAGCATTTATTCTTTTTGCCTTATCCACCTCTAAGGAAGATACTGACTTAAGCATTAGAGGACCATCAGAAATTTGTCTCTAGCGCCGCCTAACCGAGTTATTCCATTGGCAGCCATGTCAGCATTTTGCAGGGAAAGCTCGCTTCTCCTATTTCAGCAAATGTAAGCTTTGCAATTTAGACACCAAGACTTTGAAAAACTTGGTTTTTGCAAAATGAGTTACTAAAAATTATAAGTGTTCAAAAATATTTTGATAACAAATTTTTAAATGTTTTGTTGACAAAATTTGAGTTACAGAGTTGTTTTGGACATTTTTATAATGTAAATGAAACCCTTAAATTCTATATAATTGTTTCCAACCATAGTGTTTGATGGTTTGTGTTGACGAAATGTTTTGGTACTTATTGGGTTTAAATCAAAAATGGTCAAACCCGTTAACAACCAAGTGCAGAAATATCATATACAATTTGATAAAATCCCTAGAAATTCAGAAAAAAAAACCCCATGAACCCTAGAGAGTAGTCAATCAAGGTGGAGACTAGAGATAGCTTCCGACAAATTTTAGCCTTTTGCCTATCTATATTGGCAGATCTAACCTCATAGAAGTATCATTCGCTTTCTTGTGATTTTATTCGTGTGTTTGTGTGTGTATCTTTGCAAATTAGTAGAATTGAGGAATTTGTTATTTAAATTATACACATCTTAATGTGAGAACGAATTGTGATGATGATGTACATTTCTAACATGTTTAAACCTCTCTTTTACCTCCTAAAATTCGTTTGTTGTTAAAGAACTTGCATATGATATTGTCGTTGACAAAAATGATAATAGATTTCATAAATCAATAAGCCCAAGATCAATTCTCAGAAATAAATCTCCCCAGATAGTATGAATAGAACCCTTCTAATAGGACTAAAACTACAAAAAAACTATGAGCTTTATCGCTGCCAAAACCCCAAGTTAAAATCAACAAAATCTGGAAAACATGATACAAAGTCGACTTATCCTTGTACAAAGTCGACTTTTGTAAATGTGAATATAATTATTTATTGGCTAATTAGACTCTCGGAATAACATATATTAAGTGTTGCTAAATTAGAATTTGAAAGATGTAAAGTTTGATAGTTTAAACATACAAATAGAGATTTATTGATGACTTCGCATATATAACATTGAGAAGCACGAAAGCATATAAGAATTTTGCAGATCAGTCCTTAGCCTATAAATACTATCTTTTTCACATAATCTGATCCTTCTATAAATGCCATCTTTTTCACATAATCTGATCCTTTCCAAAACCCTCAAAAGTTCTGTCAGCCAAACTAGAGGAGAGGATGAGGAGGAAGAAGGAATTTTTCATCACATTCAGGCGAGTGGCTCTCTATCCCCTTAATCAATGTTCATCTTTCCTTTTAGGTTTTTCATTGATTCCTTAAACCCTAATCTCATAAATCTTAAATAAAGATATAGATTTGTTAAAAAAAATTATTCAAAGTTGTTTTATTTTGTTCTACAGTAGATCTTAATGTCTAGTGTTGCTAGAATCTTGAAACGGGTGAAAAACAATAGAAAACTACATCTAAAAACCCTAGTTTCTTGTCGAGATGTAAATCTTTAGGAACACATGATGTAACCTAGTAAAAGTTAGTCAAAACTGGAGCGAATAAGATCCTAGAACAATCCCCTAAGTCACACGACGATCGGAGGAGCTAACAAGAAACAATGATGTCAAAAATCACGAGGTATGAAACCTATAGCAAACCCGACTTTGCTTCAGAGCAATGTCAAAGCCATCTGGACAGTGTCGAAAACATACTTTATAGTGTTTGACAGAACATAATGTTCTCACTTTTTTAATCAAAGCCGATTTTCACCATATGAAAGCTAACTTTCCTATCTTATAGCGACATTGCATGATACTGATGCTATCAAAACTAAACTTTTGTACACCTAACCAAAGTTGACTTTGGTTAAACATATGTCAACAATGCTAATCGAAATATTGAAATGACTTTCCAGAACCATTATATTATATAACTAGCTATCTCTCCTTTATAAATAAGACAAATTATTAGAACCTTATATACTGTCACGTGGTTGTTCAAAGAGCCTTTATATATTGCAATGAGTTAGCACCAATAAATTCATATATTTAAATAACAACAAAATCTCTAAATAGATGAAAGGAGATAATTAACTATTCTATCTATTATAACAAACGTAGCTACAACCCTACACCTCCTATTTATCTTTTTTTCTCACGAA